CAAAGCTATCAAACACACCATCAGAATACAAATTTCTAATCTAACTGATTTTTCAACCGTTAAAAGCAGTTAGGGTATGTCGGGATTTAATATTGTACTGTACATTTTAACTTTAATATGCAACTATCAAACATCCCTTGTGATCTTGTAGTATGACTTCATTATGTAACTCAATAAAACAGTGAGCTTACCCTTTATTGCTTACAGCGTGTAGCTTTCAAAATTAAAACGAGTGTGTGTTATAAAACTACTAAGTTCCATCATCTTTCTTCAAGAATATACTGATATTCAGATATAGAAATGTACACAACACACACAAACACATGAACAGTTCTCTTAGACAAAGGAAAATGTCTTCCAGATGTAATAAATCCAGCTCTAGCATATTTAAACTTGCCGAGAAACTGATGAATGAGAATGACAGGCTGCAGTGAAAGAAACTTGAGAGGGATGGGGTGGGGGATATCTGCGTTGTTGGCATCCTGCCTCCTGCTTTGGCTACGACAATATTTCTCAATATCACCCAAGCCTCCTACACGCCACGTGAGCTGTTGAGTCAGTCCATAGTAGCTGCATTTACGCTTACTCACAGTAGGGCTACTGAGATTTTACCTCATATGATCTTACGAAAACCTTGAGATGAGTTCTCAGTAAGCACAGGACATGATCAAGGAAGAGCAATCTTTAAAAAATAATAAAAAAATTAAAATCACTTGCCAGTGATGGCAAGCCCCTTGCAGAACAAAACTATCTTATTGAATTATTTAGAACTGTAACGTGGTGGAGCTCAGTATAAGCAGGCAGGTCACATAAATGCCACAGCTGTACTAAGACAGAGCGTACCTAACTTTTCCTCAAGACAGTATTGATGAGAGGAAATTAAATGAGATTTGCTGAGAAAACATGTAGCCCAACAAAAGAATGCCTACTGCAGAACCAGTGAGTAACTTAATGAGAAATTTCATAGTTTAAATAAACATAGAGTTTAAATATACAGTAGCAGTGCTGCTGTGTTTCTTGTTTGGTAAAATGTGGATTTTTGAGACTAAACCCACTTCATCTCATTTTGTACAACATTTCGACATTTTCAACTGCTTTTAGAGTCCTCATCTATCATTTACAAGGCAAACAGCGTTATACATAGTTGACAACACTGACAATTAGCATTCAAAGTGGCAATTCAGTTATATCTGCGTATCTGAACTTTGGTAGCGTACACAGTCCTCACCTTCTCTCCGAGGGCTTTGAGACAGTCCAGGAAGCGCTGCCAGAAGTCTTTGAATAGAGGACGGTCTATCCGCTTCAGACTGTCCTTGGTGCTGGCGTCTACACTCACATACAGCTGGGTTACTGGCACCAGGCTCCTTTAGAGAGATGGAAAAAGAAAAAATCGATAGGGGGAAAAAATCTAAATCACACAAAGCCATGGTCCATCAACTTTTCAAGGATAAGCGAGCATTCAGCAACCATTCGGTATGCAAGTCCACTGAGCTTTCAATGGCCTCATGTTCTATGGTATTTTTTGTTGTTTGCTTTTCTTGTCTGTGTACCCCCAAATGGGCTGGGACGCAAGAAGATGTGTGGTAGATTTATTTTTGGACTGGTCATCACTGTGGAAAAGAAACCCAAGCGTATTACAATGTGCGAACCATGTGGCAAAATCATAAAGCAACTCTCAAACTTATCCACTGCGTTCCATTAAGATGGCCGATACACGTGTTGCTCTTACAAAACTAGAAACATTACTACAGGAAAAATTGTGAGAGCTGTGAAGACAAACCCCAAAACAACAACCATTGACATCATCAATAACCTCCACAGGGCAGGGGTGAAGGTACCACAATCCACTGTTTGAAGAAGACTTCAAGAGCAGAAATATAGCGACCATACTACAAGATTCAAACCTCTAATGGGCAGTAAGAGCCAGAAAGCCAGATGGGAATTCACAAAGAAATACAGAGCTGAGCCACAACAGTTCTGAAACCAAGGTTAACCTCTACCAGAGTGATGGAAAGTGTGGAGAAAGAAAGGATCTGCTCATAATCTGAAACATGCAAGCTCATCTGTGAAACATGGTGGAGGTAGGGCTCATGGTTGGGCTCACAAGGCTGCTTCTGAAAGGACTTTATCAGGGGGAAAAATGGAAGGTTTTAGACTGCCCCAGTTAATCACCAGACCATAACCCAATTGAGCACACATTTCATCTCCTGAAGAGGAGATTGTAGGGAGAAACCCCCCGAAACAAACAATTGAAAGAGGCTGCAGTAAAAACCTCGAAAAAGCATCACAAAAAAGAAATCAACAATTTGATGATCCAGTGAATCACAAGCTTGATGCAGATATTGCAAAAAAAGGGAAATGCAACCAAAAATGAAATGTTATTTACTTTAATTTACTTAATAGGAACTTGTTTGTTCCTATACTTTTGCTCACCTAAAAGAATGAGTGGTCTGATACAAAAGGTTCTTTTTATGTTGTTTCACACATCTAGATGTAAATACCAAATAAAATAAAGTTCTAAACTCTTCGTCTCATATCCATCTTTTGATCTCAAACTTAAATTTCTTTGATGTACAGCATGAACAAATGAACTGACCTTGCTGTTCCAATAGTTTCGGTGTACATGTGAGCAAAGCATTTCAGTAGCAAGAAACTGGATGACTCATTTTCTCATCACCAGAGGCAGTGAGGAACAGTCATCCATGCCTCTGACACAAGTCAACAAAACCAGTATTCTGTAGCCCAAGTGAAAACGACACCATATCAATTAGAGGCACCAATACTAAATTTCTCAGCCGATACCGATAACCGATATCATATGATATCGTCCGAAACTGATAGTTCTGCCTTTAATTCCTTCTTTTAAACGAATAATAATTAATTCCACAATTCTGAAGGAAATGCATATAAAAACTGTATACTCTCCATTTCAACAAGTAACTGGTCTCATAAACAGAAAACACATTACTCTAATTAACATTAACACATGAACTCAATTCTGAAGATTAAAGTAAGATTTCTTCACTTATTGTTTCATATTCATATTAACATATTAACATTAACTGAATTCTAAAAAACCTCGTGTTAGTCTCACATTCACTCTCCACAAACACAAGCATTTCTACTTCATCACTGAATATCAAACTGGTCATATATTACATAAACCTTTTTTCTGATGATATTAACTCAAACATTAACTGGATATGAAATATACTACTCTACAAATATATTTTTCTGTGCAATATATTTTTTAAATATTTCTGTGCAAGTTATATTTTGTCAACTCATCTTCATTTAAATCTTTCAACAGTGTACTGGCGCTTTAATTCAGCTCGAGCAGCTCGGGGGGAAAAAAAATTAGATCAAAATTAGATAAAAATTTGATCAGTGCAGAGATTACAGAGATTACAACCTGCAGTTTTGTCGTCATTCCACACAAGAGACATCATCTTTACACACAGCACAAAATCCATGTGTTTTCCCGCCCTCTTTTGATTGACAGGATATAATCGGCCCTGATCATCGGATGTTTTTAAACGGCCTATTTTGGTTTATCGGCCGATAGTGTGAAAAATTGTCTGATAATCGGTATTGGCCGATACATTTGTGCATCTCTAATATATTAATTCATATTAATATTAATTTATATAAATTTATTAATATCAATGTTCTTTCTGACCTGTTTATGTGCAGTATCAGTCATACGAGTTCCTCTTGAAGTTGTTTCTATGGAAATGTTTATGTACAAGAACGAGCTCTTTAATACATACCCGAGTTGCAAGATACCTCACAACTAGCACTACTGCTATTATAGAAATTTACTCAAGCCCTTCTGACCAGATTTGAGAACTCAACAGCACTGTGGCTGGTATAAGATATAGATAATAAGCACTTCAAAGCATAGTCAATACACCACTATGAATATGATCCATTGTCTCTCATTCACAGGCTGAAGCAACCGTTACAAAGACAACAACTCATTGTTTCTGTACGATATATGGAATACACAAGTTGATGTATCTTTAAAAGGTAAGATAAGTAAAATATGAGGTTGTATGAAGAATCTGGATAGTGCTGCCCACCCTTTCTCACACTGAAAGCTTTCTTTTTTTGATCCTGAGCACTCCAGGGATGTTTGAACCCAGGAAAAACAGAAGTGCTTTCTTCCTGAGATGCTGAGTGTATCCCTACCATGCTGCATGCTGATTGGGATGTAGGAGAATTGCTTGTCCCAGCATGTCCACAAGGCAAAAACCACTGTGAATCAGTCCAGATAAAGCGTCCGACAAATTCACAGCACAGCACGGCATATCACAGGGACGTGTAATCTGGGGCGTGCGTGTATTTTTTATTAGGCTGTGGGAGAAGATGCCATGCAATAAATATTTAGAAGTATAGCAAAGAAATACACACAGCTAACTGAAAGACAAGCCGATTGGAGGTAGGGCAGTGATTTGCAATTCCTCAGCTGAATGTTACTTATCAGCATGGCCCCGGGCTGAGTAAAGCTTCAAAAGAGCACGCACTTTAAGTTGGAGGACATGATTCAGCTCCAGCACAAGCCAAGATGCAGAGTATAGACAGAAGTGCAGATTATGTGCATGTACATAATACTATACTGTGTCCTTCCTATAAGCATTGTATACCACAGTACTGTCGGATTCTTGATTCTGATTGGTCAGAAGGTGTTGATTAATTATCTATAACAGCAGCTCTGACAACAATCCAAGCTGCAAGTTAAATCACAGGTTTATTTTAATGTACTGATTCTAATATGTTACTGTTTCTATACTAACTTGTGGAAGGACTTTATTTTTGTTCATTTCCATTTGCAGAGTTTTTGTGACTTTTTTTATGGAAAACTATTTGAACTTGATCACACGAAATTGTTTTGCACGATCTTTTGAAGTGACGTTTGTTGGTACATTTACATAACAATTATGGCATTTGGCAGACACCCTTATCTACAATGACTTAGCTATATCTCATTTATACAACTGAGCAGTTGATGGGATTTGAACTCATGATCTTCTGGTCAGAAGTCCAATGCCTTAACCACAAAGCTAGCACTGGCATCACTGGTAAACTTGACTTAGAATATTGCGGCATTTGCCGTGTGGTGAAGCAGCAGTCCATCAGCAAGTCCATATGCACTTCAATTCTTATTGCTCAAGATCCAACAATCATCATCTATCCATTGTTACCCAGATGAGGACAGGTTCCCTTCTGAGTCTGGTTCCTCTCAAGGTTTCTTCCTCATACCATCTTAGGGAGTTTTTCGTCGCCACCGTCACCACCGGCTCGCTCAATAGGGATAAATTCACACACTTAAAATCTGTATCCAGTGTTTATATGTTTCTCTAAAGCTGCTTTGAAACAATGTCCATTGTTAAAAGTGCTATACAAATCAAATTGAATTGAATCATCAACAAAGACACAAACAGATACAATACGTATTCCGACACTTTGGTTTTTGTTGTTTAATAAACTTCCAGTGCATAGCAATGTCAAATTTTGACTTTGTACTTAAAAATATGAACAAAAAAAATTTATTTATGCAAGTAAGCATAAAAAAGATATGTCTAAAAAACTAAATCGATAAAAGTATTCCCATACTATTAACAAATTACCAACACTTTGTTGCAAAGCTATTGTTGGCAAAAGACATCTACAGTAAGAAGTGCTTAGCTTTCTGCTGCATTGTGGCTTAATTTTGTCCCATTCCTCTTGTCAAATTTTCCCCTTGGTTTAGAGGGTCCCACTGATGGATGTTTTTAAATGATGATGTTAAAACCCACCATAAATAAAGTCAGGAGATTAACACGGCTATGCAAGCACTTTCACCGGATTTTTTTTTTTTTTTTTTAGAAACCGGACTTGAGTACATTTTGGCTGTATGTTTTGGGGTCGCTGTGTTGCTGAAACGCCTATCTTCTTCTCAGTATGTATGGAGTCATGTAATGCTCCAGTACCATTTGCAGAGAAGCAGCTCCATATCATGATGCTCCCACCGCCGGGCTTCATTGGTGGTATGGTGATTTTGGGATTATATTTGCAAGCCTTCTTTCTCCAAACATGATAAGCTGAATTCTTGCCAAAGAGTTCTATTTCTGCCTTGTTCAAAAAGAGCTGTGATTTTTCTAAATGCTTGTGTGCAAATTTTAGATGCGCATCCCTTTGCTTCTTTTTTAGTAGCAGAGATTTGCATGTGTAGGAACAGAGATGATTGCAGTGTAAGTCATTGCTTATTATTCCTGCTGCTTTCAGGTCACCATGCATCTCTATTCAAGTGACTGCTTGAAAAGCTTAATGCATATGAATGCATACTTTTATGTTCATATTTATAAGCACAAAGTTTAAAGACACGGCGTGTGCAAATTCTAAGTACACTGGAATTTGCACTGGAAGGATATTAAAAAAACAAAAAAACAAAAGTGCTCGATAACTATTTCCTCTCACTGTATACTCACTGTAAACTAGATCATGATGCAACTTGCAGAAACTCAATTTTAAAATGGCCACTGAAAGCTATTCAAACTCATTCACTTGTAGTAGATTTATATTCAACTGTTTTTACTCATTTTGTGTCAGTAGGTAGAAAAACCTGAACTGAAACTACACAAATTGACAGGAAAATCATAAATATCTCAATGTATTTGTAGTACGGTAAAGAAAACTCAATGTATTAAAGAACAGGTAGGCGGTCGTTGCAATGAATACATTCATAAAGTTACAGAGTTCCAATCTTTCCACCAAAAAAAAAAGGTATTTTCGAGTGCTTAGTGTTAGTTCTTTTGATAATATCATCTTCTCAGGCTTCTGCACAATATCCACAATTAACAGAAATGGATGAAAACACAGCAATCACATAAAATCTGCAAAAAATTAGAAAATGTACAAACCTCTGATTTCAAAAATTATACTATGATCATCAAATTAAGCGGTGTATACTGACTACTGACTGATAACTTTAAACATCTAATCAATGAGCCTGACTTGTTGTAAGAGGCTCCGTCTCCAAACATGTTGTCGACACAGGGGAAATAATGAGGTCTAATTTACAATAAAGAAATGACTCGATGCATTACATGTCCAAAATACATCCAATTTAAGACAACATGTGAAGAAAGAAAAAAAACTGGTTCTGGAGAGATTCACAGTCAGACTTCACAATGTTGTGTTACGCATATGGAATGTGACTGTGCAAGGAATTAAGAGCAAACTGTGCACTATACAAAAAAAATTTACTCCGATGTTAAAATCATATTTTCTTATTTCAAATAGTGCGGGTGACTTCCAATAAGAAAGTGGTTACACTGAATATTGTAACCCACCTGATCTCTTCAGGGAACTGGGCATTGGTGACCAGGAAGCTGGAGATGTGGCACTGGTGGAGGAGACGCAGGAAGGAGTTGATCTCTGGGTACATGATGGGCTCGCCCACTAGAGAAAGAGCACAGTGCTTCACCGCTAAACCCTCCTCAAAACGCTCTGGCCGAACTCCTGGGACACCTGACACAGACACAGCTTATTAACACTGAAGATAGACAAGTCTGTAGTGAGAGGTGCAAACATTGCTCACAAGATCAGAAAGAAAAACTATGAACTCTGGATAAATGGCAGTCAGTCTGAACCAATGCAGAACTCAGTGGGAATGTTCCATGCAGCCGTTAAAACGCCATATTATATGACCATCATGTGACTTTTTGTTAAAGGTCTCCATATGTGTATCTACATGTGGAGATAAGGGATCCAGGTATTGAAACACAGTCCCTGGCAGTTATCCACAGTTCACAGAAAAAGTTTTCAACTGGTTCCCATATTACCATAGCAAAGGGTCAAAACTTGGCTAAACCTTAGATGTTGGCACCTCTGTGTTTTAAACAGTCTCTTTAATTAAGCAACTTTACTGAAACCCAGCTCCAGGCTGCATATAAAAAAGCTTAACGCAAGAGAGAAAAAAGAAATCAAGTAGATAGAACCTGATAAAAAATTGTCCGATTCCTGTCCTAAACACTAGACAGAAGATGAAGCAAAACTCAAAAGTAGTGTTACGGGTTAATGGGCCTTACTTAATCAAACGGAATATGAATGGGCTTATTCGTAAAATCATTTAACCAAGAAATTAGGTATTCTTGAAAATCCCATAAGTTCAGAAAAGCTTTGTATCTCGCTTATGCGCCAGGGTTTGTGCAGATTTACGCACTAGAAGACTAATTCATGCAAACCTTGACTGATCAGCTTCAAATCATAATATGCAGTGAGTATAACGCTTTGCAATTGCTTAGATGGTGTGTAAGTCAGTTCCGTTTGCATCTTATTTTTGGAGACTTTCTGACCCCAAGATGCAACTCTCTTCTGCAATTATCCAGCTGTGATCCTTGGAGATTTTTTGGCCACTCGAACCATCCTCTTCACAGTGCGTTGAGACGATATGGACACACGTCCAATTCCAGTTTGATTCATAACATTTCCAGTTGACTGGAACTTCTTAATTATTACCCTGATGGTGGAAATGGGCATTTTCAATGCTTGTGCTATTTTCTTATAGCCACTTCCCATTCTGTGAAGCTCAACAACCTTTTGCTGCACATTACAGCTATATTCCTTGGTCTTACCCATTGTTATGAATGAACAACAGATCAAAAGGTTCAACAATAAAGACAATTTTCACCGCCTTCTTTGCTCATATTTACCAAGAGTGCCAATATAGTGGTGTGTAAGTTGGTTCCGTTTGCCGCAGCATCTTCTTTTAATGTTGTGCAGCACTTTATAGTAGATATTTTTTCCTCAGAGATTGTAATTCTCATCTCACCTCATTTCATTCACATCTAATTCACCTTCTCTGTCATTCGGCTCCAGGTTTTGACCTTTTCAAGTGGCTGTTACACTGTTAAATACTGCAAGCTTTTACTGGCACAGATGTGAGACAGAATAACCGGGAAGTTTTATGGCATGATCTCTGTGTCCCAATTCTGAAGGTCTCAAGTTAGTTTCCCGATGTCTTGGTACAAGAACAGGAAGTATGACCTTCGATAGAGAGCCGTCTCTCCAGCTCCTATCCTCTTATCTTTTGTGTGTGTGTGTGTGTGTGTATATATATATATATATATATATATATATATATATATATATATATATATATATATATCCCCATCCATCCATCTTCAACCGCTTATTCCTTCTTCAGGGTCGCGGGGAACCTGAAGCCTATCCCAGGAAGCATCGGGCTACACCCTGGACAGGGTGCCAGTCCATCACAGGGCAGAATCACATACACACTCACACACCCATTCATACACTATGGACATTTTAGACACACCAATCAACCTACCATGCATGTCTTTGGACTGGGGGAGGAAACCGGAGTACCCGGAGGAACACAGGCAGCACAGGGAGAACATGCAAACTCCGCACACACATTCCCGGCGGGAATCGAATCCCGGACCCTGGAGGTGTGAGGTAACACGTAAACAACAACTCCGCTAACCCGTGCGCCATCCATATATATATATATATATATATATATATATATATATGGATGGCGTACGGTGGCTTGTTTATATATATATATATATATATATATATATATATATACACACACACACATATACACACAGTCATGGACGGAATTATTGCCACCCCTGGAACTTTTCCAGAAAATGCACCATTTCTCCCAGAAAAGTGTTGCAATCACAAATGTTTTGGTACACACGTGTTTATTACCTTTAAGTGCATTGGAACAGCACAAAAAAGCAGAAGAAAAAAGGCAAATTTGACATCATTTTACACAAAACTCCAAAAATGGACTGGACAAAATCATTGGCATCCTATTAAAACTGTGGGTAAATAATTTCATTTCAAACATGTGATGTTCATTTAAAGTCACCTGTGGCAAGTAACAGGTGCTGGCAATATAGAAATCAAAACTGAAGCCAGTTAGAGTGTATAAATGTTGGCTCAACCTTTGTGTTGTGTGCCTGTGTGTGTCACACCAAGCATGGAGAAGAGAAAGAAGAGCCGAGAATTGTCTGAGGACTTAAGAAGCAAAATTGTGGAAAAATATCAACAAT